AATTAGTCATGAAAATTAAATAATTATCAGTTTTTATAATGTAAATTATTAACTACTTAAATTTGACTTGAGCAGTAACAACTGTTATTGTTAATGTTGTCAATGATCACATGTATCTTATTTCGTGTTATATTAGGTGCTTTCTTTCAAAATATCTCACTACCTCACCAGTATGCGATGCTCAGTAAAATTTTGTCCAAGTACATATTCCTTCAAGGATAAAAGCTTTTTTTCTTATCCTAAAGAAAATGATCGTTTGAAACTATGGATGAATAATTGTCAAACTAATCATTTGGCAGAGACTTTATCCAAAAAAAAATAATCTAGTAGTTTGCGCGGATCATTTTGACGATAAAATGTTTTTGAAAAAGACTACAAAAAATCGGCTGGTCATGATGCAGTACCTACAATATTTAGTGGTCAGTATTTTTTATCTTCGATGCAAAGCTGAGAAGGTATTAATTTTACTATGATGTGTGTTTCTTTAATTTATTTATTTTTTGTGTGTCTGTTACCTTGTTTTTTTCAGCTCTCACCGAACCGATTTCTTTCAATGATACGTCAAAAGATCACAAATCGTATCTAGTCGAAGACATTACCCTCAAAAATTGAAAAATTTTCCTTCATTCCTCATAAGTGGGAGATATTTCCAAAATAATTACAATTTTAAAAATCAGTAATTTTTGACATTTTTTTCTTAACACTACCATAACTTTTTCAAAAATGAAAATTTTATATAGATATTTGATGTCTTTACCTATTATTTGGTATATTTTTTTTATAAATTTAACCCTTTACCAGCCCACAGTGGGGAATTCAAAATGACAACTTTTTCACAAAAAATTAACTTTTTCAACTTAACTTTTAAAAGTGTTCCGAAAATACTGACGCTTTTATATATATATTAAATTAAAGCTAATGTAATATACTTTATTTTGGGGGAAAAAAATTTCGGACTTTATTTTGTCTTCACGGTGAAAATGGCTACAATTTGGCCAAAAATGGCTAACAATAATAATAATAATAA